TTCTGGGGGCGGAGGTCTGGACGAGAGATGAGAATAAGCATTGGCGGCGACGCGCTCCAACAACACATCGAAATGAAAGCATATGCGGAATCTGTTTATTTGGCGAACTATTTTGCGTCGAGGTTTTGTTTTCATTGAATGTCCGCAAATCATGGCATCTAGGAGGGTGAGCGAAATTTTCATGTGGAACAGGAGAAAAGGCAGTGAATCTGGGCATGTACTTTTAGCCACCACCAGCATTTTGGTTTAGTTTACGTTGACACGATGCGCGAAAGCAAATACACAATGGAATGATACCTATCAAGTTATTTTTTACCCTTGCGCCCACCAATTTCCTTACATAGAGACGATATATATAAGCACTCACTTAACTTGTAGTTTTCTCTATTTCTTTCTTGATGGTCCCATATCGACGCACTTCGGGGCCTGGTTCAGTCCGTGCCTCTTGTCTGTACTCCGTACCCATTGCCTCAATCTGTGTAGGCCTGAACTCCGTACCCCTTAGTCCATAGCCAGACCCGTCACCACAATACCGGTAGGCAATGGCAACATAATTTCATTATGCTTCGTATTACGTTCTGCCTCAAATCTCGCTTCAGGCGACGTGCCATCAACGGGCGGCTTCGCTGGCGGATATGGCCGAAGCGGGCGGGCCTTATCGCGCAGGGACCCCGCAGCGTCACGAGCTTGGCTGTGTAACAAGTAATAGAGAGCAATGCTGCATGTACTCGGAACTGCAGAGCACCATTATGCAAGCCTTGTCACCGCTTACTTGAACCATACAGTACATACGCGCCAGAGGTGATGGGGTGGTGTACGAAGACAACACCTCAGGCGGTGAATTCGAATCGAACTTGATGACCGACATCCTCATCAGCATTGGCTTCTGGTAAAATGCATATGTCGGCCAGGGCTAGTTTTGATGACGTGCTTGTTGTTTTGACTGCGGACTTGCCCAATAGGTGCTGTATTCGTTCCCTATCAAGGGCCGTCATGCCTTGGACTCGCCAAGAGGTAGTAGTAGACGCCTATGCAAGTTCGCTCGCACAGCAGCGTGAGCCGGGGAGCCTGCAGAGTCGAACAAGGCATATTCGCCGTAAGATGATGCGCCATCCCAGCTCTTGTTGTGCCTGATTAAAAGGCATGTGCCTCGACACTGATTTGCACTGACGAGGTTCCGATAACGTCCCTTCTCCAGTTAGCGAACTTCTTGGGCATCACGAGATGCTCTGTTCCGTTTAGTTCTTTTAGCACGACGAATCTCTCACAGGCTCAGATCAAACTCAAACTGGTTATTGTGCACTAATAAGGAGTGTGGGGTCGGATCATGTTGACGGTTGGTTCCTGGTGAGTCCCCATATCGATCTCCCCGGCCTCGGATGGCTGCAGCTCTGCAGCTCCGAACAGCACGCCGCTACTTCGGATGACACCCCTCTATAGGCAACGCTCCTTGGTGAATGTGACAGGCTGTCAGAGGCCAGCTGAGGTGAGGCAAGGTTCAAAAGCAAACAAGTCTCGATATTACTGAGAGACTGCACTATCTCGCATAATGCGGAAGATGCAAGATAATGGTGTGCTTTGGGGATGGAATTGGGCCCATGCCCATGCCCCGAGCCCTTGAAAGTGCCATGGCCGGGCATGGGACAAAAAAGTTCCAGCTCTAAACGAGCTCCATTAGCGAAAAGAGGCATATTGAGCTATAAACTCGGCATCAGTGGAAAGGAAACGGAGTGCACACCTGGCTGGCATATTTACTCCGTGCATGTGTACAGGTGTACATACATAAGCTAGATTGACGCGTTGGAGAAGCTTCAGGAACACACGCACGCACCCCAAGACTTGGCGTGACTGGGGTTAGCGGAGGCGTTTTCCAGAAAACCAGTCGGCTGAGACTTCTAACGCTTGGATCGACCAACATCCCTTTCAAGTCTCAAGCCGGGCGCTAATTGGCTGTCGATGCTGATTCCTGACCTGGCTGTGGCGCCTACCTTCTGTAGGGTGAGCGGGCGACGGACTGACATCGGAGGCGGGGGAACTGATTACGAGGACTCCTCGAGTTTGGCCAGCTGACGAGCTCGCCGTTCCGCGACCTGGCGCAAAGTATTCAATGTTACGAAGTTCAACCCCACGAGGAGAGGGCTGAGCCATGACTACCTTGCACGCAAAACATGTCAAGAGCTCGATGAAACGATATATGAAGATGGCATGGGCCACTCGATTGAAAGATGGAGCAAGCGGCGCCACTTTTTACTGTGCCTTGGGAGTATGTGCCTTTCGCCCGTCGAGTGTACATACGAATGGTGGCAGTACCGGCCTAGGGCAAGGCTGTTTGATGGTCCAAACGCGGATTGTGCTTCCCGTTGGCTGTTGCCATTCCCAATGTCGATTAGAGTTGTTGCTGTGGCTGATTTGCTGATAAGTGATATTTCCAAGTGGGGGGATTCCTAGATGGGGCAGTGCCAATAGAGCAGCATTTGGAGTCCGCTTTGGTACAATACTCCGAGGCGGCAAGCAAGGTCATCACCGGTCATGAGCAGGGAAAAGTCCCAACAAGGGCGCCGCAGAGTGACCGGCCTGGTGTATAACGCAGTGGGCTCGCAGGGCTCTGTAATCACCGCCAGGTCTAGATGTAATACAAGTCGCATCAGAAGCTAAATCGACATCATGGACAAGCACTGCCCTGGTTAGCAAGACTCCGTGCCCCTTCACTGGGGATCGGGGAGAACTGGTGGTCTGTAACAACTTACTAATCTAGGTTGAGGTGTAGCTGGTCGAGCGGCGTCGCCATCGGCCGAGACATGCCGGCGGATCAGCCAACTCACACATGGCCAGATTGTAGAATGTGGAGGTCGTCAATAGCCGTGGTGCAATATAAAGTTTTGATCCAGTTGTTTCGGACGCACGTCATCGAGAACAAGAGGCGGTAGATGAAAATTGAAGGAGGATAGTACAAGGAACACACTGTTCGGCTCGAGGGGTGACTCGTGGCATGATTGGGCATGAAACGGGTAGCAGGGATAGTGCCAAGCGTTGAACCGTTCGAATCCAAAGCCGGGTCGGGCGATGAAAGATGACTGGTTCACCGTGTCTAGTTGGCCGCTGTTCCTGGAGCCATGCCCTTTGACCCATGCAGCGGCTGGCACCAGTATCAAGGAGAAGGTGAAGTTGAAATGCTGGTGCTGGTGTAGCCGGATGAATTCGAGGCAGGCCGTGGAAATGCTGTGAGTGGTGGGTTTGTTCAACCTTCTTGGTTCGGCGTTGGTGGGGAAGGCCGCAACCATGCTTTTGCTCAAGGCAAGCAAGGAAAGAGACAAGAGAACATTGACATCGGAGAAAACTCGCAACCTCAATGTCACAGGCCAGCAACCTTCGGAAGGATCTACCATGGAACAGCCTTCAGCATCTCTGGTTGCTCCCCTTCCGCAGCCTGGTTAAACCCTACTAGACCACGATCTCAATCCTGTGTGTTTGTCGACGTCGACGCTTTCGGACCGCTCATGACCTCATTGAGACAGCTTCACGGGCGACTTCGCTCTGTCCCCGTGTCTCCTCCCATCGTCGCTGATATTGACAATATCTCACAACGTCGGCATTTTTGACGCTGCACATGATGCCATCAACGGGCCTATCCTCAATGTCAGGCGCAAGTGCGGCGTCCTATCAACAATGAGACATCGTGACCAAGGGTTGGGGCACACCAGCCATTATCGACCGAGGGTTATCCGGTGCTTGGCACCACCGGTCTCCGTAGCCTCACGACACCCCAGGACGCCCGCCATTCGACGCTGTCTGCAGTATTCATGTGTCTCTCGTTCATGTACGTAACTGCACGCCTGGGGTCAATCCCCAGCCATTTGTTGACTGGACTCACCCCCATCTCCACCAAACTAGCTCGACATTAGTTGCAAATCGCACCCAGTCCGTGTGGTTGTCTTCTCCAATGATTCGGACACGCCCCTCCCGCAACCACCTGGTGGTCGAGAATACATACACAGAAACAACAAGTCTGGCGGTTTGATGGCCACCAGGCGTGGCTGCAATGCCGAATCGAGACACCTCCATTGGCTGTATCGTACGCATCACCGGAAACTACAGCCTAATGTGCCTATAATCCTCTGGTCACCACTGGCAAGGGAGAAGTAGACGAGGACAGTACATACAGACACCACAAACGGGCCACATGGACTTGTCGCGACAAAAGCCTGGATAATGATCTGCAAAGAGTTTCCTGAACAATCTCTCGAAAAAAAAATCCCAGCCTTCATCTGGTCTTCCCCCCTTTAACCTCCCACCATTCAATGCTCCAGTCACTAGTTGGCAGTATCGGTCGATTCAAGTCACGTTGCCTCGGAGTCCATTCCTCTTTGGCTCTGCTTCGCCTGCTTCGCCTGCTTTACAAGCCAACAAAAAGCACGCATCCGCGTCTTGAGCGAATGAAAGAAACGAGCATTGAGAAAAGCCCACAGGTGTTGACGATCATATAATGCTCCGGACATCAAACTACAATAATGATTACTTGAATCCGGGAAGAAGATTGCGCCATGTGGGTCCCGCGTGTCGTTCTCCAAGCGAACTTTGTCACTTCCCTATCGCGATACTAGCAAGAGCTTGATTACTGACCATCGGTGGGCAGACGGTAGATGCCGGTGAAGTTGATGTGGTGATCCGGCTGTCCCCCGAACTAGAGGTTCCTGCAGCAGTTCGTTCTGTATGTCTTGGGTAATGTGTGCACACTAGGAGGAAGGCGATTACTGGGCAAGGCAAAAAACACTTAATTGACTAACCAAAGATGCCTTCGTCTCCGCAGTTCGACAAGGTGTAGGCCAGTTTCTCCAACGGCTCCCCTCTCCCCCGGTACCGAAAGAATGAAGTCCCGAAAAACTCGAGCGTTCCGGGGACACAGTCGTTCTCCGCGCCTCCTGAGGTTGGAGGCCGAAACCTGGCTCGCGATAGCAGGATGGAACCAGCTGGCCTGTGTCCAAATTCGTTTTGCCCACGACATGTCGGCTCTTGTCCCCACATGCAAGCACAAGCACGGGTTTCCGAGGCGGAGAACACAAGCGGGCAAGGCGGGCCATCCACACTGTTGGGTGCTGGGAGAGCCAGGCCTAAATCAAGCAGCATTGAGGCCAAATGCCAACGTGGTGTACCACCAGACTCGCGCCGACCTTGCCTCAATTGGAACCGAGAAGGCAGCTGCAAGGGACTTTGGTTACGCACAGGGCCGTTCTCCGCCTCCGGCAGTCCAGGACTCGCCGTACGCTTATCAGGACTTGGCGGTTGCTGCCGTATCTTTATCGCTTACTACTTGATTCTGGGTGATTTGCCCTGCCCTTGCCGTATCGAAGTCGAAGTCGAAGTCGAGTTCTATCAAAATGACTCGCATGTGTCCTGGCGCACAAGGCCGTTTCATGATTGCCAAAGGACTTTTGTTCGGCATGGCTGTGCGTAAATAATGCTGGTGCTGGCAAAACGTGCTTCGGGGTACGTCAGCGTCTAATAATAAGTTCCTGGCTCATAGTGTGCGGGATAATATCAACACGCAGAGGGAACGAACTGCCAAGGCTGTCTATCGGCTGTGAGTCTCTGCCTAGGCCTATTCAGAGACAACTCGACTATGTATAGTACTTGGTATGGCAGGGCAACTGGGACTCACCCCTGCCAATGTTCAAGGATGTCAAGTGGTGGGAGTTGTTCGGGTTGCAGCGGCTGCATAGTACTACTGTCTGTGCAAGCACTCGGTATACCGAGTAGTGACGTTACAATTGTGCTCACGCGGCGGCGCGCGGCCGTCGGCCGTACATGCAATCACGTCACTCGCACAATAGAGCGCCAAGGCCGCGATTGGTCTAGAAAATTCCCATCTGGATTGTGTTGAGGGCTTCGCAGATTCCGGTCTGTGCACACCACAAAGACGGTTTTGCGACCAGACGCCTTTGGCTACAAGGCGTCAACGGTACCAAGTGATCTGTGTCCCAGGTCGGCCCTGGAGCCCTGCAGAGCCTCGTGTCCCTCTGAGGGTGGATATGCTACCGCCTGACTGTTCCCGTTCAAACCCAAATCGCGAGCAACTTCCAAAAGCGAGTGCCCCGACAAAAAGAGTGGTCTACGGAGGTGTCATTACGGAGCTTTGAATATTATACGGGATATCGAGTCATCGACTATCGTGGGGAGTGGATAGCACCGGGCAATTGATGCTTGGCAGTCAATGCAACCAGACACCCAAGGCTTCTTCGATTCAAGCCCCAGCCAAGACTGCAGCTTCAGGTTCCTGCAAGGACTGACCCCCTCGTAAACCCGCTCCGTTCGGCATCCTGATCCAATTGCCGTACGCCAAGACTGTTGACCGAGGCATGGCCACGGTCTCCCACACCGATATCGATCGATGTCCGACTCGAGCGTATGTACAGAGTACTCGGGAGGAACCCTCGTCCCTGCCCGACAAGTGATATTTTTAATGTATCGATCCACTTTAGGTAATTGATATCAAACAACGGGACACACCCATGAATACATACCTAGGTATGCACATTGTAGAAGTGCCGAGGGGGGCAATAACCGGGGTCCATTCAGACTTCCGGGCCGTCGACATCAACAGGGCTGGCGGACCTGTCACTCAAGGGGGGTGTATGCCAAGATCACGGAGGTCGAGTAAATACATAAGTACGTACGGCCATTTGAAAATCAACGCTGTCAATTTAATAGCTAAACTACTTGAGCAGTCTGCCCAAGAAATCACAGCGCCAAATGCCGCTCGTTGTTCATGTGTCCACTGGAGCAACTTTCGAACGCCGAACGGGCCCTGCATCTCGCTTCCATGGCACCGTCCAAACCTGATCCTATCAGGGGAAGGAAGCCCAGTCAACGCCCGCATTACAGTACATGAAAGGTGAAAAGGAAAGGGGCGGGATAAAAGGAGAGAGGGGGTCGACGACACAGGCCGTTCACATCCGTATCCCCCTTGCGATTCGGATGGCAGCAACGTAATGGCAAATGCAGAAGCCTTGACGGCTACAATCTCCCTTGGGCACGCATCCCATACAAATATGCCCCTTGAAAAACGGGGACGGCTGGTGAATCACTACGCCTCGGGGCGAGCGTTTGTGTTTGACCGGCTGGCATTGTGCCAAGGCTGGAAGCAGCAGCCGAGCTGGGAGGCTGATCCTCAGGAGCCGCATCTGCCTGCTGGCCCTTGACGGTTCGAGATGCATCTCGGACGATGATCAAGTCGTGCTTTTGAGCCAGGAGCAAGTTGTCGAGTTTAGCCAGCTTCTCTGCTTTGTATTCGTTGTGGTTTGGGTCTGGGGATATTTCCACTTGATCTTCCATCACGCTGTCGTGCTGCTCTTCTTGCTGTTCCTGTCCACCTGTTTGTTGTTCAGGTTCCGAATCTTGCATGGGAAAATCATCCAGGCGGGAGACTTGAGGCTGCTCTTCTTGGAGTCCCGACATGGACTCGTCTTCGTCATATGTATCGTATGAATCGCTATCATCAAAGTCCTCCTCTCCGTATAGTAATTCGAGAGTTGTCGATGCATAATCCCGCAGCCATTTTTCAGCCTGTTGAATTTCAAGGACCTGGCTCTTGCGCGTCTTTTGCAGCCTAGCTTCTACAAAATCAATTCTTTCTTCAGTGTTCTGGACAAGAAAGTTCCATGTTTCCTCGCTCAAGTTTCCGTCATCTGCCAGCTTCCTCATCTTTGCGGCCCACGTGTTGAAACGCTCATCGTCTTCGGCCTTGTATCGACGACGGAGGCATTCTTCGCATGACCATATATACTTGGCTTGCACAAGAACATGCTGGAGCTTCCGGGGGCAGATGGACTGCAGATCGCATCTATAAGTCGTGCAACGAAGCTTGTAAAGCTTGTGGTGCTGACATGCAAGATAGTGCAGCGTGGCGATGCAGCACGGCATCTTGCCCGTCTGACTATTTGCCAGTTGACCGTGGTTCTGATTTATCCAAATGGGCAATAAAATGTCGATGATTGTAGTGCCGGAGATGATATCAAACACGACCGCGGAGCCTGTGCTAGAGTAGCTGGGGGTTGTGCCCGGTGTAGGGATGACGATTTTTTCACCAAACAGTAGCCAAAATGTACAAGTAGCGTCGTGCTGTGCCAAGGTGGCTGCAGAGAGATGTAGTTTGAATACCTGGCAGAAATGTTGGTAATGTCTATTGTCTGTGGACGGGCATATCTGATAAAAAAAATGATTATTTGATGTCTCCCACACGAACAAGAGGGACGAAACAGAGAGATTAATATCGACGGCAGCCACAAGGACCAAAAGAGCCGCACAAAATGGGTAAAAGGGCACGCGCCCAAAAAAAGCCCTTGTTGAATGGGCATAACATCGTTCTCCCTTGGGCCATCTGCCACTGCGCCATGGTTGGCGACTGCCTCATGGCGCTCCTAACTTTTGTGGCTATTCCTCATTGATGCCCGCTACCGTTAGGTCTGCACGCCGAAATCCCATGAAGAGCAAGTCTCAAGTTTGTCGCGCGTTTCGACGCTACAGCGGTCGAATCTATTGCGCATTTACGCATTGCTGGATGGAGTCGTGGCGTCGCGTTCGGCCAATGCCTCGTTGGGCCATTGTTCTCGGTCAAAGTATATACTTCGAGGTTTGTCCACATGGGGCCTAATCGTCTGCCACAATGGGTAGTCCAACTGCTCAGGCGTGCGCACAATCGTTCTCTGTTTCAGTTAAGCGTAAATACATTGCTTCATTATGACTGTCTTTTCCTTGTTGACCTATCCAACTGATTGGGCAAGCATTACATTAGGTAGGGCTCAGTGACGGCAACACAATATGCATGGCTGTACCCAAGCCAGAGAACGACGGTAAAAGCCAAAAAGTAACATATAGATACTTCATAGTCTGCTCTTTATGGAAATTTGCTCAGGCTTGGAAGTCACAATGGTCCCAGGCGGATTTGTTCGAGAAGCAGACGTGGCCCCCAGCGGCAGTTGAGCAGCCTACGTGCATTGAGATGTGTGAAGCGCAGGCAAAGGTGCCAAGAAGCAAGTGTCGAGTATATTTTCCTAGATCCAGTATCGCTCCTGAGCGGTACGAAGTCAAATTTTGCACAGTGTACTTTCCACGCCAGGTCGCAACGCCTACAAACCCCCCTCCCTCCTTTATCATGCAGTAGATGTTCTTGGAGGCGGAAATACAATCCAACACACGAGTCCACTTCCTGCAGACGTGGCGTCTATCGTGATTCATTTGCGGAGAGGGGCGTAAGGGCGCGTCTGGCCAAGTCGGGGCTTATACTCCGGGAGCAAAGCGTCTGCGCAGCCAGCTTTCTGTAGCCGTCAAAGCTAGACGGTGTTGCGCCGCTGCCAATGCTGATGGACGTACCACTCGGCTGTTTTTCGTTGGACACTAACCCCTTTGTTTGGACAAAAGCGCTGGAACGGACGTGGTAGGGGTCACGTTCGTAGTACTTGTCAAGGATGGGGTGTGTCATGACTGTTTGGCGGTGGATGGTGAGGATGGAGTTTGTAGGGACGTTCACCCAGTTTTCTGACCATGTTAGCTGTATGACACCATCAATGGTTGTGTCCATTACAGTGTATTACCTCGTTCAAAAGTTAGTGGCTCACTAGCGACGAGCACAATATCGGCTCCCTTGTCCTTCCGCTCCATCTGATACTGCCTGTCATTCGGATCACATGTCCTCGTGGCCCACTGTGTCCCCGACGAATAGTACAGGCTGGCGGCTTCGTCCTTGGAGCTGCTTATGTATCGCGTGCAAATGACGCTATGACCATCCGTCACAGCAAAGTTGAGCAAACTCCTGGTGTCAACATCTTCGCTTTGCAAGACGTCCTGGGGGATCGAATCCGTCAACTCGTTGATCTGGGCAATGGTCTGCTCGACGGCTTTACGCAGAACGGTTGGCCCGAAGCCGTTTTCGGGTGACGAGCTAGGGTTATGACCAAGCCGTTCGAGAGTATCGAGGAATAAGGCAAATGCCCACTCGCTATCTGTACCGCCCTTTACTTCGAGATACCACTTATCCGCTAGTCGGTCGCCAAGTTTTCTCTTGATGTATTTCCAGCCGCCGAGACCACCATTGTGCATCCACATTAAACTGGCGTGTGTAAAGGGGTGGCAATTATCCTCACTCAAGGAGCCTTCGGTCGTGGCGCGTACATGGCCAAATATGAGGCGTGATGCCGTCTTGGATGCTATTCGCTGCAGATTTGTGCAGTTCCACGCTGGAATGGTAGATGTGAAGAGACAAGGCGCAGCGCCGAGTTTTGGATCTGTGTAGAAGCCTATGCCGAAGCCGTCTGCATTG